GATAAGCCAATCAGATTGCAACATTACTGCCGATTTTGTTTGGATATTTTACACTCCTGGTTAGGAAAAGGCGCAAGAAAGGAACAGTGTCTCAAGCACATAGCAAAATTGAGCCCGCTTAGGGCTTGAAAAGGATCTTTTCCATGTGGGAACCATCGCGTAAACCCCGAGGCCATCGCTTTTCCTACAACTTATCGTTTAAAAGTGTAATATCTGGTAAAGGGTGTACCTTGTTTCCCAAACCACAGCTGTAGCCTTTGCTGATCGCATCCAGACCATAATACTACATGTCGTCCGTTGCCTGGCCAGTATCCTGTAGGGTGAACACATCTTCCAGACTTGACGTGCTTTAAAGATCGCCCTATTAAACAAAAACAAAAACAAAAAATAGCCACCAAAAATCAAAAATGGAATACAATTAACTAGAAATGTCTCTGAGTTCTGTAACCCTATATTAGAGAACTCTTCGTAGAACTGTTTGAAAACTTTTTTGTAAAAAAACTGGCACCCGATAAAACTTTTCGTTGGGAGTCCCCTGCCCCCCTCCCCTCCAAGAGACACGATCATAGAGGTTTTGCACAGCAGCCATGTTGGATGGCAGGAACAATAGATTATTTTACCCATGGGAAAAATTTTTCTTTCTTATGCAAAATATTTTCATTGTTCCTGCCATCCAACATGGCTGCTGTGCAAAACCCCTATATATACTGGCGATGCAGGGGTGCAAAGACTCTTTTCAAAATCGAAATTTCCTGGAATTGTTTATGGTTGAAAGTTTTTAGTCTATTTCAGGTGTTCGGTAGGGAAACAATGGAGCACTGATACCCACGTGACCGGCCGCGCGAAACCACTTGGTCGAAGAAGATAAGAGGTGAGGTTGTTATCAAGAACCTTCAAAGGTATTAAGAATCTATTTTAAGGTTCTGGCGTGTTTCTCATTTCGATGAAACTTAGCGAACAGATGGGCGTCGTCCAATGGATGAAATTTAAATTCATAAGGACATTAAAGAACGACAAAAGCTGGTGAAATAATACGAGGTTAATTCCCATTTGACTACAACATTTATAGCCGTAGATTGTCGAATGATCAAAGAGGAGGCCGGGCTTTTAAAAACTCTAATTCCGCAACGCCTCCTAGTTTGTTTCTTTTTGAACACTGCATCACTGCCCAAAAAGCTGACCAAAAACTGTCAACCGTGCGCGAACAACAGTTACAACTCATCAAATCAGAAAGCAGCTTTATAAACTTGTATGAAAAGTGGATATACCCTTGATCGTTCAGGTCTAATCGATTGTTGCTTACATATTGTAAGCTAATTTATCAATAACGTTGGTTTCAAGTATTTACCATGTTAGAAGTCTTTTTATCAAATTAACATTAGCATATTTTGGAATTGTCACTTTGATGACAAAAGGACTCAGCGACTATGCCATTAAGATTCATTCAACAAAAAACCACAAAAAGCCTTGATTCCTGCTCGGCCCTTGTCGGTGTTTAGACAACACAAAAATACATACGGAGGACTTGAGCTACCGCAGTATGCGATTTTATAAGGCGAAACACCGCACCAAAACCTGAGCAACATGTGCGAATTTCAAATTCCCCCTTAACAAAGAATACCGTGAAGTTATAGCTATGCAAATAAATACGAAAAGTTTGCCTAAAGGACCCCAGGCTTTTCCAGAAGGAAATTACGATTTGCATATTCACTAAAGAAATTTCTCTCACTGTGAAAATCACAAGCTCTTTCTCACCTACTAACAGGCTAAGTCATCATATATATATCTATATATGAACGGTGATTGGTTAAAAATTTATCGATCAATCGCTTAGAATGGTCTAGACTCTTCCCTCTCTGTGCCAAATAAAATGTTTCATTTTAAATTTCTGCTTTGGATCGTGAATATACCTGCATGAATTTCTCGTTCAACTAAATTTTGCCCCAATTACTTACTCTGGCTCCGTTTTGGTAAACTTTTTTTGTGACAAGAAACTCCGAGATCGCCTCTCTCATTAAAGATAAGCGTTAAATATGTCTGCTTTAGAGAAGCGAGCTGAATGCTAGCCCATCATTCTGAATAATTTTTGCCTAAATATTTTAAGGTAAGACATGTTTCCCTGGAAACTCAACAAAAACGCACTTTAAAAGGCATTTGGGCAAATACGTATAATCATTGTCAATTCTCCGCGGACAGAAAACGTCTATATATTCTTATGCAACCTTAAATACAAACTAAGTAATAGAATTGAGGGTATTAAAAAATCCCCAGCAAATATTTTTGACATTATTTTTGTTCCACTAGCAACGACGGCTCAAGGACGGCATGGCGTCCTTATTCTGACCATAGGAAATGAAATTTATAAAATGGTTTCATTGCAATCCACAAAACCCATGCATTTTCGCCAATTGAAAAATATCTTCTGCGTTACTAATTCTGAAGATTAGTTCAGTCCGGTACAGATCCTGATAACCCTTAACATTTCATGTAGTTTTGTTTGTTGAAGTCGTTTCTCCTCCTGGCGTTAGGTTTCTGTGCTTCTCTACGTCGTTGCCGCCATTACAGTGCGTAAGAAGAGTCACGATCGTTGTGGTACTTCCAGCTAGCAGTATAACGAAGATCAAAATTTCCACAAATGCCATTTTAGACTGCTCAGTGATCTGCAGCGAGAAGTATGATCAAGATTTAGAGAATATAGAATTGATTCTTTCACTGATTAAAATCACCATAATTACTACGTGAGGCAAATATTTCTTTTACAGGACGAGGAAGATCGCGTTCAAGGTACAAACTGGTTGCATGTAACAGATGCTGCTTGCGAACACGACAAAATTAGATCTCGTATGTGTACAATTTCAGTCAAAATGTTGTTGATCTTTCAACATATAGAGCAATGAATGGTTCCCTCTTTGCCGAATGCGCAAAATAACAATTTCAAATATAACAAAGCAATAGTTAACTTACCCACAACTTAAATTCTCGGGTTCCTCTCACCACAAATTAAAAAATTTACCCTAAGCTTTCAAATCCTCCGTTGTTAAAATCAATCACACTTGATTTGCTCTGTTAGCCGAGTAGGTGGACAAAGCGCACCCGTATCAAGGTAGTGACACAAAAGGAAAAATCATTAACATAATTTCAAAAACATCTAGTTACATTCACACTGAAGAAAAAACCTTTTTAAGAGTTATTCATGATTTTGAATGGTTAATTTATCCTGATGCAAGTGGTTAACAAACAGTTATCAATATAACTATCATTACCCAATGTCATCACTTTTACTTTATTATTTCTACTTCAATCTTGCGGTAATTCGAGGTACTTGGCTGTATTTTTCCTTTCCCTCCTTTTCCTTTTTTTATCTGTTTCTTTCTTTCTTTCTTTTAATGTTATTGTTTTTTTTTTGTAATCAAACTATCAGCACCCTTTTTGTTTTTTTTTGGTTTTTTTTACCTCTAATGTCATACATTTAAATAAATAAATATAAATTATTTTGTTCACAAAATGTTCGTCTGCCTAAGTTGAACAGAAATTGCGTTGCTCATCATTAGCCGATAAAGCTTAAATCCTTAAAAACAGCAAATGAAACAATGAACGTTTGATTGCATTCCTAGATGTGGTGGTTTTCAACATTTTCAAGTTTTCACTGTCCTACAACAATAGCAATCATCCGTATCCCAAAGGCTTTAAATTATAGATCTAATAGTTCTTCTGTATTTGCTGTTGTCATGAACGGCGGTCAGGGATCAAAACAGGGAAGAAAGCTCCATCGATAATGCATGTTATTGACTGTCAATAAATCCAGTGAAATAACATGTAATTCGCATTGTCAGCTCGGTTTTCGATCTAAACAGAGAAACTGATATATGTCGACATTATATAACAAGGCGCCTGAAACATGTCGATTCCTCAATGATAGAGTAACAAGTGTTTGGTCTTCCAACGGACTGCCAGAGATAGGACGCCAGATAATGATCTCGAAACTTCTAGTGAGCAACCACAGTGACTCACTATTGGCAGCTTCAAAAACTCTTGCAGTCACTTCCCTTTAAAATTCCACAACAATTGCAACGTTTGCTCATCAAAGGAAAAAATGTTGTCTTTAGATCGGAACTTGGCCTTGGAGACGTCCCCGTCAAGTTTATCTTTATTGTCCGCAATTATATAAGAATACCTACTTGTGCCAGGATTGTCACCTTTACAGTTGTTACCATTAGTCTGTTTGACACCCTTTGGAGACTTTTGTTTCCGAGGGGCTGAAGGTTTTGTTTGGGTGCACACGGTGGACTTGTTCGCGGTTAATTGGACACCATGTTTTTTGTTACTTTTATGCTTTGTATTCGGCTTAGAAAACCGTTCAAGTGTGTCTGATATCACTCCAACCGTATTTTTGTCTAGATTAACTTCTGCCGTGGAGTTTGAGTCGTTCACACTGTTACTGGCACGGGTTGAGTCAATTTGTGGTTTCTTCATCCGCTGATTTTTCCTAATATCAGTCGTCTCGCCCTCACTCTGACCTTCTTCACGTGCTAGACCATGTGGTTTATCTCCTTGTCTCGTGTCATGGTTTGAACTAGTTAAACAGCTTTTTTCCTTGTGTTCTCTCTCACGTGTTGCTTGTGTCTTGTACTCGCTAGAACCTCGTAAGCGTTTTACCAGTTCGGAAAGAACCATGTCCTCTTCATCGCTGTCGAAATCATCGTGATGCGAAGTCCCATTGAAACTATCACCAACCATGTCTTGGTTTTCCACTAACTCTCCTTCTCCGTCGTTTCCGAGTTGGATTTCCGTCTCCGGGACGGTTGGGCTTATCAACCGTGTTTCGATACAACTGTCCCCTCTGCAGCCAGCATCATCCGCCCGACGGTCATCCACCCTCATCATCACTCTCTTATCAGCACTCGCAGTGTAGGTAATGTTTTTACACCGAATGCTGTCATGTTCGTTTTCTTCTTCTTCGGTAATAACTTGAAGCACATCGTTCATAACCGGGAAGTCTGTGACCCTTGTCACGCTTGCAAATTTGTCGCTGACACTGTTCTCATCTAGGGTATTCTCATCACCAAGAGATGGCCCAGGCTGCGAAACCGAAGCTATGTCCTCTGATGTAGAGCATGATACGTCAGAATTGTTTGTATAACCGGTCATTGACGAACAGATGTCATTGGATTCCATAATTCCTTTATCACCAATGTTTTGAGTATTATTTGTTCCACAAGTTTTCGCTTGATCAACTGGCCTGGAAACCGCGGACGAGGTCGCACAACTCGATTTATTGTCTCCCAATAAATCATTTACGCGTACAGCAGTCATCATAGTCGAGATAATTCCCGCGTCCATTCTAAATGGCGAAGCCTCAGCATTCTTTCGAACTTGATCAGCGGACGACTGTTGGTCACTTGAAGCTTCTACAAAATCAAACGGCTCTACAAAGTCAGTTGTAGGTTCAGATTTGCGCGGAAAAGGGGAATTGGCTTCGGAATTGTCACCAACAGCTGGTTCAAAATCCATCAATTCTTCTTCATACTCAGAGAAAGGAGACATGCTACCATCACCTGAAAAAGTTTCTGCGTTTTGCTCAATACCGTTGTTTGCCGAAAGATGTGAAGTAACATCACCTTGCAGTTCATCGGATCTTCTTCTATCCACGGCTGGCAATGTTACAAAGTCATCACACGGAGTCAACGAGACCGAGGAGTCGTCCACTACGTTATCCCGACCTTGAGCTTCCTCAGACCTTCCCTTTGTTTCGGAGTTCACAGTGGCATCGTTAATTTGAGCCGTTGCCACTAACGTACTTTCCGAAATAAAAGTAAGAGACGTAGACGCCATGTTCGCTAATTCGGAGATGCCGTCTAAATTACTCGTGTTGAGATCAGTTTGTTGCACGTTTAGATCTTGCCTCACATTTGGATCAGTCTGGTTGATGCTGCCCGTTTCATTCCTCCTAGACTGAGCAGTTGACGTTTTTCTCTTTTTCGGCGCTGTATCCATGCACTGGGTGTCGGAGCTTTCTGAGAAGGAGGACCGATATCCACTAAGCTTTTTGGCCATTGACAGGGGCTTTCTCCTCTTCTTTTTCTTCTACAAAAGGGACAAACCAGTATAATGAACGTATGAGCGGCTACTCTACCAACTTACAGAGAAGGTTAAACTTAAAGGTGCACACAGAACATTCAAGAGTTCTTTTGGTCGCATATGTGAACAGCTTCTATTCGATATTTCTAAATTTAGCGTAAAACAGTATACCTCGGCACGCAGCTCTCGTAAACAAAAAATTCTTCAAAAGTTTGGAGAATACTCACCAAAGCTTCAAAGCTTATACTAAAGTTCAGACTGTGATTGTCTGTGGCCTTCAAATTTCTTTCTCACCTATCGTATCTTTTTTCTTTCGGTGTTGGACTGTTTCATTAATAATTGGGGTGTTTTTTTATTAACTTTTACATCTAGTGGTACAGCGAATGATTTTCCATTAAAAAAAAAAAAAAAAAATGGCACCTCCTTCCTTAAGCTCCCTCTTGACACGAACGAATGCACATTTGGACGACTCAGATACACTGAATCATGGCTGTTTCGATAACTACCATGATCTCTGTTCTGTTCTGTTCTTTTATTCTGCATTTCAAAAGTATGATATTTGTATCATCTCTGTGATAATAAAAGAGGCATTCGCAACCTCAAATTCGTCAATCTATCCATAAGTTTTTAACAACAAATACAGTTGTGAAGGTGTAGTCTGATCGTCCGGGTGAGTGTAGTCCTGAGAAGGACTGTTGTCGGTGGTAGTGACTGACGTTTCGACAACCTGTGCGGAAGTCATCATCAGAGTCAAGGGTGACTTCCGCACAGGTTGTCGAAACGTCAGTCACTACCACCGACAACAGTCCTTCTCAGGACTACACTCACCCGGACGATCAGACTACACCTTCACATGTTACCCCCGGGTTCAAACCATTTACTGAAATACAGTTGTACCTTAGGCAGCGATTGATCTTGAGGAGACGGTGTTGGCTTTATTCTTCTTTCTGCGTGGAGCACCAGATGCTTTCTTAGAGAATTCTGCAGATACACAAAGGGGAAACAATCAACAAAATACGATGAAAAAGCGACACAAAAATATCAGAAATAAAATTTCACAAACAATTAATTCAACGGGAGATTTCGTGACAAAATTGTTAATTTTTTCATAGTTAGATCCTTTTCCAGGTGCGCTCAGTCTGTAATCACATACGGGATAACAACAGCAGCAGCAACAACAAACAAGCAAACAGACAAACAGACAAAGAAAAGCAAAAAATATTTGCTGGTGTACTAGAACAACATACAGCGTACTTCGACAATTTCACATCAAACAAGATCGACAGACGCGTACATGTACAGACCAACAAACAAACACACTGGTAGAAACAGGGGGTACTTCTTCCAGGAACTCTAATTAAGCACGCAGATTTTGACATACACTTTAGAACGGCGGACATACAAATCAGTACAAGATATCTTGCATGTACTACTTCTTCTTCTTCATTAAAATGATAAAGCACGAAGCGCTGTACCTTATGGGCGAATCCTTTTGCACAGCCTTCCCATGTGCACAGATAAGGCCTGTGGCCCTCATGGAAGGATTTGATGTGCACTCTGAGGTTAAAGGCCTGAAAAACAAATAGATTCAAAATGTTGAGTCAAATGCGCCTGGCATAAGGTGAAATGTAGTGTATTGTGCTCCACACACCGAGCACTTGACTTTCAGAACCAGACGGCTGTTGGGGAAACTCTGCATCCCTTTTTTCCACACACGAGCAAGATGTGCATTCCTTCTATATAAAGATAATTGCCCTATGGCCTGAACATTTACATGAATAACTATCATTTGACACAGCAGTTTCTTTCCGTCCTCTTAAGTGGACGTTGCTGTTTTCAGATTCCAACAGCTAGTTTTCTACGGTAACCTACCTTCAAATAAACTTTTGAGCATCCCTCTCTGGGGCATTCATACAGTTTCCGAGTCGTACTGTGTATAACGGCATGCTTCCTGAGCTGTTAACACAATCAGGTCACATTGAGCCAAACTGAAATTCATTCGCAATGTGTCTGGTTTACAAGAGAAATTCCATGCTAACTGGATTGAAAAGTAACTAATATGAGGAACAAAACACTCACCTCCGAAGCTTGTGAAAAGTTTTTGCCACAATGGTTGCAAGAAACCCCTGACAAAGAAATAACTTTAAATGGAGGAAATGTTCATCTCTTGCAAAACAAATCAGTATAATAATCCCTGCCTAACATACATACCATGACTTCTCATGTGCACTGCTAATTTTGAAAATTTGTCAAAGGCTGCAGAGCATCCTGGTGTACTGCAGATGTATCCTAGATTGAAGAAAAGGAATGATCTTAAGATGTTTATCACTTTGTAATAAAATAGTGGATAGTGATGAGGCACACTTTGATTGGCTACTCAATATTTCATATGTCCTTTTGCTATTTACCTCAAAGCAACCTCACATGGGATTTGCACCTGAAAATATTGTAATCATTTATCTATATTATAATTGTTTATTTTTTATTATAATACCCCGGGCTGAAATCATCTTCTTTTGCTTCATTCAAAAACTTTTTTGTATGTACTAAAGAAACTATTCACCCAAGTAGAGGTTGGCCAGCAGCACCACTAGCCACATCCACTTCCATGAATAGTTGTTCACTCTTGGCAAACATCTGGTGCTCTATGCAAAAGGCTGTGGTCTAGCAGCGCCCAGTGGCCCTGGTGCCTTACATTTGCTCTTGCGCCACTCAAGAATTTTAGTTTTGTCATATAAAGCATATGATGGCAACCCCAGATTTTACAGTTTTAGATCACTGGGCTCCATTCAATTTTCCTTATAGCAGAGCCTTGATGCAGAAAGAAGAATAAAGCAAACAATGTCTCCTCAACATAGATCGCTGCCTAAGGTATATTTAGAATTAGTTTAATTTCTTTAACAGTTGTCACATGACATTGCATACATGTACAAACTCTTGCTGTCTCATGCAAATCTAAACAAAGCAAAATGGAAGTACATGTTCCTTCTGTGACATGATTGACAGCACAATAAAATTATTACTTCCCAGTTCACGTTATTAAAGGTGTGGTAATATACCCTGTGCAGTGCTGTCATTCAGATTGACAATGATTGGTGGTGTAATCTGAATTAAGGTGTATTGTGCTTCAAACCAGTCACCCCTTGTGCTTAAAACATTCTCAATATGAACCTTTACATCTAGTATCTGATGACCTATATCTTGATAAAATTTAATGGAGAAAACAAAAATTGATTCAGACCAGAATTTCTTGCATCCTTGTTTCTTACTCTTATGTGTAATTCAAAATCTCTCATTATGATAGAACACACAAATATACCTATGTTGTGCTTCTTCATGTGATTCTGAAGCTTTGATAGAGTATGAAACCCAGTGCCACAGCCTTCCACATGACACCTGCAAATAATCAGTAACATGCATATGTATATGACTACCTAACAATAATACTTGAATAAGTGAGGTCCCTAACTAGGCACCAGTCCCTCATTGACTATGAAACCCAGTGCCACAGCCTTCCACCTGACACCTGCAAATCAGTAACATGCATATGTATATGACTACCTAACAATAATACTTGAATAAGTGAGGTCCCTAACTAGGCACCAGTCCCTCATTGGAACTAGATGAAAATCCTTTTGAATGTGAGAATTTAGACACACATGTAGAAGAGAGGTAACGTATACAAGGGCTTGAAAACTCAAACCAAAAAGGGGCCAGTGAGATAGAAGTTGAGTAAAGACACCTCTGGTGCTGCAATTGAAATGTGCTGGGAGATACACTTATGAAAAATGACAATCAAAAGACACCTCTGTCAGTTAAAATAAATTTTTCTCACAGATGGAAAATACATGTATGCTGTTAAATTAAAAGAGAATATTTCTTTCTTACATTTCATTTTTGAATTAGTGCCACCCCTCAAATAAGTGCAGCATGTGAGGCTGCACTTATAAAACTAATAAGCCCTGTGGCATTTATTGAAGTAAATCTATACAGTTATAATAGTAAACCTGTTTGGACTCAAGTCAAACAACATACATGAAGTTGTCCTTGTGTAGTGGTCTAAAAGAGGACTCAATTCAATCCAGTCAAACTTACTTGTACAGCTTTTCATTTGTGTGAATACAAATGTGTCTCTTGAGCTGAATACTTTTCTTGAAAGACTCATCGCATCCCTCGTAATGGCACTATGAAGCAGAGTTAACAAAGTAGAAGAAAAAACCATGAGGAAAACAATATTACATAATTTTTAACCTGGAGAGTCTCCTGATTACTCAGGAGGATTTGTGCATTATTAAAATATCTATTTTCTATACTTTGCAATAAAACTATTCTCTGTTCTTCCTCAAGTTTGATTTAACTCTATATAAAAATGCACTGGCTAAACCAAATGTTGCTCTTCAATGTCAAGAAAACTAAGAAATTATGACAGCAACTTCTCAACAGCGGCTGTACATTGTAAACTTTTTTATTAATTAATAACATTGGATCACAATTATACTTCAGATGAGTTGCAGCTAGAAAGATGGTTTGAACACAACAGTTCACTGAAGCCTCCAAAAAATTCTAATTTTACATGTAAAAGCAGTTTACTTATTGCAGCATACAATCCATCATTTGCTAAATACAAATTAGCTGGGCGGACACTGAAATGATCAAACTACAGGGAGCTACATGTAACAAGTCTTTGACATCACTTTTTTTTCCTAGTGATGGCACACACTTGAAATAAAAAATGTTAAGACATCAGATTATAAACTGAAGCATGGCATGATGCATTTTGCTACTAATGAAATCAGAATCAAGAGAGAACAAGTACAACATTTTTCCATTGCAGTGGCACTTCAAAGTTTGATGACACAAACTCTCAAAAACTGATGCAAGCCTGGTAATGTTTGCCAAGCACCCATCTACATGTAACTAACTACTTCAAACAATATGTTTAGTCAGGCCAACTCTAGTGAGATCTGTTTGCAAGATGAAAGCACCTCCAATACACCTTTTACTAGCAAAACAAAGAACCACATTCCTTTCATATCACACACTGGACACCACCTGTTCAACACAACAACAGTTGTCATGAATACCACAGAAAAAACAGAGGAAGTCAAAGTGCAACTCCACACTGAATTTCACTACAAACTTCTCAAAGCAGCCATTGTAAAAAAAAAAAAAAAAAAAAAAAACATGCAGGAAAGGGTTAATGAGATCATTGACCACATAAATCAGTGGAAACACATCGACAATATGACTAAGAAATGGCTTTCACAAACACCTGACCCACCTAAATACACAATCAACCCTTGCTGAAAACAGTTATTATATACAATAACATCTGATAGTCTCTTGTAAACAAAGGGAGAATCCCTTTTGACACATTAGTGAGAGCAAAATACAATTTAAGGCGACAATGCGACATGATCACAAAAGCCACATAGGTAGTCTGTACAGGTCTGTCTTTACCTTTATTCACAACGTGGCAAGGTAAAAATGACTAACCGATAAAATGTGCTATTTACGGGGTTCTTGTTGAGAGCCAGTGACCAGTTATTTTTATCAGCTGTTCAAGTAAATGTTACCGGCTATTTCACTGAAACCCGAGACTGAAATATCCACCAAAGTTATCCAACAATGTTTTCAATTTTTTGGAAAAATATCCCTTATCTCCTTCTAACCAATGCTTGAGGACATCTATCACATGTTACTGGTTTGAAAATACATTATGTTGAAGAAATCCTTTTTATTTTTTAACCAAATTCATTCCACGCTGTCACCATGCAAAATTCCTTCTGCCGTGTTTCCTTTCCATTCTTCATAATCATAGTCATACATCTTTATTTAACAAGGGAAACATATTAACTTTACACAAGTTTTCTAGCATATGGCCCTCACCTTCCCACCCCAGGGGAGGACTGATCCATCACACAGTAATCTCATGCGTGGGAAATGATCGTCTCCTACCCCAACCCTGCAGGAGGCAGGACCTCCATTTATTCATCCCTATCTGAGAAGACTAGAATATCTAACCATTTCTTAATGTTATAGAAAGGTAGCAAATTGTTCTCAATTATTTTAAGACCTTGAGTGTTGGTCCGGACGGGGCTCAAACCCTCGACTTCCCGCACAATAGTCCAGCCCACAATCCATTGGGCTAACTGGGCGGCGGAACGAAAAGGCCCAGCATTTATTGAGAAACATCACTGTGACAACATGGCATCAGGGCGAGGAAAACCTACCCTAGACTCTGCTAAGGGCCTTTACAGCCCAAACACCCCCAGCATGGAGGAAAGGTAAGAAAGTTTCCCGCTATTTTTTTTTTTTTACCTCCTAAATAAAACCTTGCAAGAACCCTGTATTTAAACAAAAGCCACCATTTAAAACAAAAACAAATGACTGCATTGCATCGAGGTTGGAAATGGACCTTTAATGCCCCTTCTATTGTTGATACAATCAAACAGAAATTATTGCAATTCAGTCCAACACTTGTAAAATTACTTTCAACTCTTCCCTTGTCTAAGATTTATTACATGTGCATAAACATCACACCATAAAATTTGAACAAAGGATAAAATTCAACAAGAAAAAAAAACATACAACTAAAATTATAGTATAAAGTTGATTGGCAAGATCTTTACCTTAAATGGTTTGTTATGCGACCTCTTCTCATGTCTCTGCAAATTGTGCTTGAGGGAAAAAGTTTGTGTGCAGCCTGGGTACGAACATCTGTTATGAAGAAGAAATTATTTGACACAGGTATAAATTAACACAGAAGTTTAAATAGCATTTATTGTACTGAGAGCATATACTGGTATGTCTATAGCCAAAAAAACAAGAGGAGGGGAGGGGGAGTGGGGATGGCTAAAACCCTTATTCAGTGATTGAAACTTTAAACAATTTGGGTCTTTGGAGCCAGGATCTGGCTCCAAGAAAGGTTGAAGCATTATAAGCTGGTGAGAGTTAGAACATTTTCGGTGTTAAGAATTAAGAATTGGAGTCTTCTCAGAGCAAGTCAGATGTGGTTGAAATGTGACTAACAAGCAGTTCCAAAGAAGGAAATTGGGTTTAATTGCAAGAATTTGTGTCACACCAAGAAAACAACTTCCGATTGAAAAGTTCAAGTTATCTCATTACCTTTTAGCTGGGTCATGGGTGGATGTAACAAGGAGAACTTACATGTTAATCACTTCTAGGAGTTAAACGGTCAATTCCTCACATGCAGGGCTTGACACTAACTTTCCAACCTACTGGCCGAGTGGCTAGTGACATCTTAGATGTTACGACAATTTCAGTTTGTTTACTTGCCAAACTGGCTAATGGAAATTGAAAACCACTTGCCAAAACTGAATTTCTACTAGTCTATGGCTAGTGGGCTACTGTTAGTGTCGAGCCCTGACATATGGAAATTTTCTCCATAGGGACCTTAAAAAAGCCATGCACATGAACGAAAAATTGCATACTTGAAAATTTCTTGCCCTGTGTGGATCAACGAGTGACGCTTCAGGTGGTATGGTCTGATGAAGGATTTACCACATCCTTCAAACTCACACTTGAAAGGTCTCTGCAAAACAAATCACAATTAATATATTTATAAAACATAATATAATTATAAAACAAACACTGCACGCAGAAACCATGATTGGATACTACTATCTTGTGTTAATTAGGTATGCCTTAGGGAGTAAATGGTCTTAATTAAAGGCTGAAAAAAGGCCAAATTAATAAAAAAAAAAAAAAAAGCCCAAAAAATATTTCCCACTGTTCATCTGTCTTCATAATGATCTGGTGGCCCTTAACTTGAACCTTTCAACTGAATCGATAGCATCAGGATGAACCCCGTAAAATGTGATTTACCCAGAAAGTGGCAAAATTGGAGTGAAGAGAATTTGCCGTTAATTGCTTTCAAATAAAACTCACTTGGTATTTCTGAGAAGACAGCACTACAATATATCTTCCGCAGTTCTGGGAGTGGCATTTTTGAGTGCAATAAGCATACAATAAGAGGGTAAGATCATATCATGCATGTAAGCTTGCTGTTGTTACCTAACTATAAATTACTTGTACGATACAAGCTGAGGATAACCGAAATACACTGCAGCTAAATTCACTATAAATGAAAATTACGGGAAAAAAAAATCTGGGTAGCGTTTAAAGACCTTCAAATTTCTCGAGATCAGATATTTTCTTAGCCGAATTCTTAACATGTATCAATTTCTCGAGCCCACGCTCGATGCCTTGGTGACGAACCAAAACGTACCTGACGAACAGAGTAAAAGCACGTGTCAGCTGAACTAGTCCTTAAATTGTCAGTTTAAAACCATAAAAAATTACAGATTTTGTTCACAGGACACAAAATATATACCTACCTCTCCTGTATGGGACCTCTTGTGCTCCTCAAGCCTCCATTTCTTGTTGTAACTTTTCCCACATTCTGAACAAGTATGATCCTCACCGTTGTCCGCCATGTTTTGGAGAACAGACGAAGTTCTAAATACAAATCAACCTCGTTTCCAGGGTCCTCTCTATTCCTACCACGATCCATCCTCGGACACCCAGGGGCTGAGTCAATTTCAAGGGCAGAAGAGCCTTCTGCCCTTAACTTGAAATCGACTCATAGCCCCTGGGTCTCCGAGGATGACCACGATCCAAATCAACCTTGAAGGAAAGGTGAAGGAGAGTATTTTTCCCGAAACTTCGTGTACATATTAAGGACAACAACAAATCACCACATGGTAAGTTTCACTAATTTTTGTCTCCATTTTCAAGCAAATTTCCAGACCCAAACTTCGCCTCATATGTTCTCTCTATTTAACCATGTGTACGAGACACAAAAAGTGAGCCTGGGTTACTTGTGGTTCTCGGGCCTAAGAAAATGTCATCTGACCATGAATTCTCTGATATCATGAATCTTGGATTGACTTACTCCAAAAGGTATTGTGGGCGTTTTAAAAGGATTCAAACGTAGCGGAAGAGGATGCTTGATCGAGCCGAAAAAGAATTAGAACAAGCGCTGAAAGATTGTCAACGGCTAACAGAAAAACCCAAAGAACAAAAGAAGCTTACTTTTTCCGATATCTGGGCGGAAAAAAATAAAAATATCCTCACAGACCACGCTTCTCAAAAGCGGCCAGTACACCAATAGCTAGTATGTCATCTGCCAGCTTTAGCTCTAACTTGGACTTTCAACCTGGTGAGCTTACCCTGGCCTATAATTTTTGATAATTCATCTTAATGTTTCTTCCCCTTCCTGGTATAGTGATTGTTGTTTTAGGAGTACATTCATTAAAGGCATCATATATTTTCTCTGTCACATAAAGGTAAGGTCGCCTACATAAAGCGCACATAATAAATGTTTCACCCAATTTGTTCCAGTATCAAGTCCTTATGGCTGCCACAACTATGATGAAATAAGCTCACACGATGCTGACGTTTCTTTTACCGGAACCCCAGGTAGCTCAAAATGGATTTCAATTTTTTCTTTTTTTTCAATATTGTCATTATTATTATTATCATTGGAAAGAGTGCCATAGAACGCCATACATTAATTATGCATTCCATTTCATAAAGACTGAATAGAAAGGTTTCTTTGCAACACTCTATGCATAATTAATGTAGGGGGTTATCTGGAACCCTTGCCTCATTATTATTATTATTATTATTATTATTATTTTTATTATTATTATTATTATTTTTATTATTATTATTATTATTATTATTATTATCACAGAGAAATCAACTGAATGCTGCATTCTAATCTGGCAGCACAGGGCGAAAACCGTAACCTGTGAGCCATGAAGTAAAAAATAAATGTACATTAACTAATCCTAAAATGCTTTTCCGTTGTGTCTACGGTCCTCCTTCTAACAGGAACTCAAACTGCCACCTTGAAAGTCCGGGCAATATTCAGCGTGCCCGAGAGCACTGCCCTCTACATCTTTCGCAGTACGTCTGTGCTTCTGCCTCCCACCAGCTCGCACATCATGACATCCAGCTCCCGTGACCTCCCCCCGAGGGCATCCATAATGATGTTATATTGCTTCACCTCGTAGCCTGGGAACCGCTGCCTTAGTTCCCAGCGAAAAGGTCCGTACTTCAGTGTCTTCTGTTCATCCTTTCTTGTCCGGTTGTTAACCCACGAGCAGCTCATTTCTAGCGTCACAACTCTCTCGCACATATGATTTACAAAGCGTGCATCCACCCTATTGCATCTGACCTATTATTATTATTATTATTATGACCTTATTATTATTATTATTATTGTTATATTTTTCTGATGAGGGTTTGGTAAGTCTCTTGTAAGGCTGAGGCCAAACCATGGCAAACTTGCCATGATCCTGAGGTACCACAGGGCTATGTTAGCTCTGTTTAATTGATTTAACCGCCTGTTTCATTGATTTAACCCCCTCCTTCGTCAGAATGTGAGATGCACTACGCATTAAAGCAATCTTTCGCAACAAAACCCATCCCCAGGCTTCCCCAGGCGTTTTCTATCGATTTATATGGAAAAACACTACTTTCTTGGCGCCAGTAATTCGATTCATGATAAGAGAGCCGTTAGTAAACGTAAGTTCTGTTTAATGGAAACACAAGACCATAACATTTTCAAGAAAGTATCTAACACTGTAAATCATCCTCTCTTGCCTTTTCTACCTACATTCAAATCTACCCATTATAAACTTAGATGGAAATCCTCTGTAAAACCTAAGATCGAAACAGTCTGCTCCATGAGTACCTATGTAGATACTAGTCTTTAAATATAATTTAGCATTACTGATGGGGGAGGGGGTGGGTTTCTACGTCTTTTCTACTTTGCACGCTTTAGATTTTAACTTGTAACATAGGAAATGTATTTTTATCCTACGAACGGATAAAGACATATTATTATTAATACTATTATTATTCGTCTATCCTTGTGCGATCTCCGAAAGCAAGATATAGTTAGATATTTAGAACCACCTTCAGAATATGAATCTTGACATAAGACACGATCACGATGTACTTTGATTGGAAGAAATAAAACCGCATTCTATTGGTTATTAGGTGTGAGGTCATGACTGCAATGGAAGACACAACCACAACGCTACAATACAAGTAGTCTTGTACCCAGACCTTCCACGGCCATTTCGGTTAGCATCCGGGTACGAGATTACGACACAACCTCTTTCTGGCGGGGGAGGGGAGGAAAGGGGGGAACCAGGTTTACCTAACTACCCCCTTCACTGTCTGTAATTAAAGTAACTGTCGTTTTCAGTAACCTAAGTGAGATGTGACTTATTATTAAATAACCTAACCTGGGCTTGATGGCATCACCGGCCTGACAATTATGCAAATATGCATAACATTCTGTCGACAAACTATGCATGGACACACTGTTTATGTTAGTCTTGGCTCGATTTTTGAAAGTCAGGAAGGTTAATATAGGGAAGTGTTGTCTATCGATCCTTTCTGGTTCACCCAGGCTGAAGTCCTGGCATTCAGTGTAATGCCTAAGTGCTTCTGGGATGTATAACATACTTAGCTTTTCATTCATGGTTAATCTTGGGAAGTGTTGTCTATCCTTTCTGGGAGTTACCTAGGCTAAAGTCTTGGGCCCAGTTGTTCAAAAGACAGGTTAAACTAACCTCTGGTTAGGCCTAACCGGAGGTTAAGTTTCCTAACCGTGAGTTTGTTAACGCGCTGTTAAAATTGCGTTGATCGGAGCGCGGTTAGAGGACAGGTTAAGCGCGTTTAACCCGGGGTTAGCGTCCCATAATAAACTATTAGTACAATGTTGCCATGGTGAGCAAGTTGCGAGCTCTGCAAAAGGGCTTCCTCAGCTATCTCACGCAAAGCTCGAAAACAAAATTTTGGCGCTTCAGAAATTGCCGTTTTGACAGAAAAAGTCGAAGAAAACCTTTCGCTCAAAGCAAATTTACCAACAGCGTCACCAATCAGAAAAAAATGAAATGTGGAAACAAATCGCCGATGCTGTAAACACCGCTGATGCGGCAATGCGGACAACAGCCGAAGTTCGCCTATAACTTGTAGGAAACTTCCACTGGCGTAAAATCTGAGAGCAATTAAAACTTAATTGATGGAGCAGCGGTAAGGCGTGATTCCGTCGAGTGTTGCGACTGATGTCACCGGCAACAAGATTGGTAATAAATAAAATAGACTCTCGTCGAAAGCGGTAACGAGCACGCAGCTCTTCGTCTGTGAAATCGTCGATTTCACACTGAATTCCGGCTCTAAATCTCCTTTCTCGTCGTCGCCTTCGGCGTAAATCGCAAAACAACAAGTCCGCCATTTGAAATTTTATTCCTGATTTAACCGGAGGCTAACAAGTTAACCCTGCTCGCACGGTGGGTTAAATTTAACCCATCGTTTAACCCGAGGTTAGTGTTAACATACATACATACATACATACATACATACATACATACATACATACATACATATATAGGTTAATTGACCACTCCCCATGGGGGCTTTTCAGGGACAATTCCCACCCAGCAACCACCCCAGGGGAGGACATCCATCACACAGTAATCTCGTGCATCGGAAATTAACGTCTCCTACCCCTAACCCTGCTGGAGACGGGACCTCCATTTATTCGTCCCTATCCGAGAAGACTAGAGTATCTAACCATTTCTTAAAAGAAAGGTAGCATATTCTTCTCACTTGTTTTAAGACCTTGAGTGTTGGTCCGGTTGGGGCTTGAATCCTCAACCTCCCGCACAACAGTCCAGCGCTCTATCCATTGAGCTAACTGGGAGGTGATGGTACAACACAACTAACCTCCGCTTAAAGTTTAACCCTGCATTAGGCCGATTTGACCCTGGGTTTAGACTTAACTCTCTTTTGAACAACCGGGACCAAGCATTCAGTGAAATGCTTGAGTGCTTCTGGGATATATAACACCCTTAGTTCTTCATTCACGGTTAATATAGGGAAGTGTTGTCTATCCTTTCTGGTTCAGCCAGGCTGAAGTCCTGGCATTCAGTGCAATGCCTGAGCGCTTCTGGGATATATAACATATTACTTAGCCGTTTTTCATTCATGGTTAACATAGGGAAGTGTTGTCTATCCTTTCTGGTTCACCCAGGCTGAACTCCTCGCATTCAGCGTAACGGCCTAAGTGCTTCTAGAGCATATAACCGTGATACTTAGCTTTTCATTCATGATCAATATAGGGAAGTGTTGTCCATCCTTTCTGGTTCACCCAGGCTGAAGTCCTGGCATGCAGTGTAATGCCTTAGCGCTTCTGGGATAAATAACATACTTAGTTTTTCATTCATGGTTAATATAGGGAAGTGTCAGTGTCTATCCTTTCTGGTTCGCCCAGGCTGAAGTCCTGGCTTTCAGAGTAATGCCTGAGCCATTCTGGGATATATAACGTGAAGAAATTCTTGTGACTCAAACTTTCCTGCTCTTTGAGCTCTTCACCTATCTACAGCAGAGCGACAGGAATAAATGGTCATTTGGATCAAAAATTTGAAAAACAGCTTCATTTACTGCTAGAGGTCGCCCTGCAAACCGCGACGGGAAGAAAACGTCAAAACACAAAATGCTGCCCCCCCAAAAAAAAAACAATCCCTCAATAAATAAAACAAGGCAGAACAACAGCTGGTACATTTTTTTGCGAAAGCTAGATCGTGAAATTTCCGATGCAACGTTTATGCAGGACGTAAACACACGACGACGACTGATTTCCTGACAAACTGGGCAATATGAGATAAAATAAATTATGAAACAACACGAAATAACGCGCACAGCCTCAAGTAATCGATATACCGTATTTCCTTGAATAGACGCCCACCCGTCGGCCATCCAAATTTGTAGCTCTCAATAAGCGCGACACAGGAACCCTTTCTTTTTCAGCTTTCATAACATTTAAAACTTTGACTACCTTAGATGAATATGTTAGGAGAGATTCTTGCTTGAAGAGTTATATTTCGCCGGCGCATTACCTTGCCTTTTTATATGGCTGGCTTCACAAGCAGTGCAAGCTGCAGCAAATTCTGCGAACTGATTGGCTGTTAGCCCTTCCTTTTTTTCGTTTTCGGCGGTGGCCAGCATCGCAGCCATTTTGTCCTTGTGTAACCTGCAGGCAAGCTCTCTCTTGGCTGTCAACGCTTGGCTCAGGTTTGAGTCCTCATGCTTGGTCAATAAAGCATTACTGGATCTACTACCGCGCTCCATGTTAATTTCCAAAACGACCCTGGCGCACAACGCTTGACTTATTTACAGTTGGTTTTTGGAAAAAGTTAACGTCCCACCCCTCTCAAAAAAGCTGTACGAAATAGAAATTCAAGGACTTTCGAAGGATTTATTGAATTCATTGGCGGACTTTCTCTGAAATTCACGGACTTGCAAGACAGTACGAACCCTGTTAAAGTTCAAGGGAGTTCAAACTTGTTCGTACCGTGTTATTAAAAGAAAGTTGGTCTTCGTCTGTTTAAACTAATTTCGCCTTCCTCCTCTTTCGCATTTTTCAGCTACACATTGCACGCCTAATAATTTTTCACGTCGTAAGCTTTGTCAGCTTGTTCAACATCTCCTGTCTTGATTTGAAAACAATGATTACCGTGACAACCCCCGGTCTCTGTTTATTCACGATTTTAATCATCGTTGCCGAGAAGGTAGCGCAAAAAGATTTTCAACACCAGTGCCTTAATCACATCGTTCCGATAATGTATGAAATCTCTCGCAACTATCTCGAGGATTCCGGCACCAATATAGATCATCCGAAGGCCAGTGACAAAGAATCCTATGAGTTCTGTATGAATATGGTTTAAAAAACTGGAACAGTGTGTAAACTGTAAATGCGACATAAAATATCAACGAGAAAGAGCCGCCATGTATTGTGGACTCTGCGTTAAATAGCAAAGAAATCATAGGTTGTAATACGCCGAGTTCAATCCCAATAGCTGGTATCATGATGCTCAAAAATTACAGCACCGAGCGTCAGCCGTCAAAGGTTCCAAACACAACGGAAAAAAATTTTCGGTTCAGGATTTTATTTTGTCTCCGATCCGAAAACCAAAATTGGGTAAAATTCATTAGAAAACAAAACACTCAGGCTGCCAGTTAAATGTCGTAGTAAATAAGCGTCGCAGCCTGTGTTAGTATTAATGAAGTAAACGAAATACGCAAGCACTGACTAAGAAATGTTTCTTCAAAGTGACTTTATCATTAGCCGCAACACGTTCCAGGCGAGCGCTTTGTCTCATCAGTATTTTCAAGCGCTGACCATGTACAGTTTTTTCGGATACCGCTTCCTTAATTACCTTTTCACGCCATAAGATGATGACACGATTTCGTAAAAGTTGACGCCTCTATCAGATTAGAAGCGGAATATGATCAAAGATTTTACTCAAGCAAGCTACTAGATATCCAGCAAAGAATGCGGACCAAAAGTGCGGATTCTCTGCTGGATACCTAGAGTTTTTTGGTTGCTAACGGCGTGAGGCTCGTTACGTAATGAGTGCTTGAACAAATTTGTCTGCTTCAATTTCCCGATTTTTTTAACGTCGTTTTGTTACAATTCTACAGTAATACCGCATTTTTTCTATTAAATTGTTATATCATGGAACTTGTTTGTACATCTAAACAATGGTTAAAAATAACTTAAAAGTCATCGCAATTACCTTTATTCCTCTGTAACTGAACTCTTTGTTTTCAATGAAGTTGGCCTTAACCGGCCTTTCAAATCGGTCCGTGTCACTCAGCTGGCACCTCAGTCTCCCAGATTTGTTCTTTTTGCCTCCAAAGTTGTAAGACTTACATCGCTCTTCGTTGACACACTCCAATCTACAGGAACTTTCTGACTCCACTCCTATCTCTTTTATCACGCTTCCATTGAGCTGTCTCCCTTCCAATGCCTGGCCAAAATTGGCAGCTTGAAATTTGGGAAACTTGTTAGAAATCCGGATTGTTGCATATGCAGTAATACTGACCGAAAATAATATCATAAAGTGCATAATTAATGTGGTAGATAGAATGAAACGTTTCCTTATCCAAAACTGAAATGCCGAAGATATTAGTTGGGCTCAAATAGGTATTTTGGTTTTGACTCTGATCCAGTCAAAGCTCCAATCTCAATGCGCTTAGCACCTTGCAATTATGCATGATGCTAATTCCTCCCTTAATTTGTTATTGTGAAAATATTTTGCTAAATTCGCAGCCACCCGCCTCCAACAATATGCGGATAACATTTGGCGTAATCTCAAACAAAGTTGTTACGTAATCGCATCTACTTTGAACGGAGAAACCCTCAGTCTCGAAGAACTTTTGTCTTCATAACCTGCTTGGATCCTTGCCATAGGCCAGAATGGCAGTTCTCTTTTAAAGATATACGTCTGAGGAGGTCTATTTTATATGAAAAAATAATATTTAACTATAATAGGATAAGTGCGATGTTTTGCACCCAGAATCAAACATTTTTTAATGTGCTTACAAAAAACTGGGAGGCTTTCATGCTGACAGGGAGGACTGAACACATAATGGTAAGCAGGATTTCTTGGAACAGTCTGATTGCGCGAACAAAATGCCTCACCTGGGGTCATCGAACTTTCCTTTAATTAGCTTGGTAACACTAGAAACAATAATAAAAAAATAATTAAAGAGAGCGAGAAAAAGCGCTAAATTCTCTTTCAGAATTGTTCAACAAAAGTTTTCCTTAATATGCAGCTTCTCTTTGAGGCTTCGAATTGATTGATGCATTATTATTTGGAATGTTACGCAACACTTCCTGTGAGGTATGCACGACACCCTAACGAAGACTGTAAAGGAGTCAAGCATAGAAATCCAAAGGAGAATACTGCGCAAGCTTCTGCCTTGAAAGAATTGATATAAACCTTAACCAGGTCCGTTGTGTTTACTATTGTAGGGACATTATATTTTATATTTTACGAGTTTTGTTTAGGTTAGTTTATCATCGCCATGCATGGTTACGATGTTCACCCATACATGATTCTTTTATTCCTTAGAAAAAGCATTTGTAGAGAGTAATGACTAATAGCGCGTAAATCTTGTCAAAATATAAATTAGTTCAGAAGAAATTTTCGAAAAGACCTGCCCCGACAGGCGGTCAGACACACCATCGAGCGTTTACAAAAGCTTAGCGACAGTGACAGCTTCTTGCAGATTCAAGCACGGTGATTGGTTGGCAATCTAAAGGTGTGTCTGGGGGAGGAAGCTTAAGAATAAAATGAGGGTTTTACACACTTTCTTTGCTTCCACTCGCTCCGTTTCTCCCGCGTAATCAATTCGGAAATCCCTATCCTGCTGGGTAAAACAAACGCCGTGAGATATCGTTGTCTAAATAATTTTTACGTTCAAGAACTTCTTCAGCAAACCTCTTTCCCAGGCCCTCAGGGCGAGTAGTTGCCTTGAGAGGATATTGGACACGAATCACTACCTGTTGTGCTCCTCAGACCAACGCGTAGTACGGCTCGAGCGCTTCTGGTGAAATTGGAAGGTAAGTAAAAGACCTTAGTGGCATAACCTTTTAGTTAGAAACGGTGGTAGGTCCGTGGGTAAAGTGCATTTTTACGAACTTCTCGTCGGGATCTGGAAATTTCGCACGAGAATTAGCTCCATGTTAATTTCCGTGTTCGCAACGAACCTCGATATGCTAGATATCTATCTCTGAGCTGTACTCAGAGATTGTTGTTCATGTTTTCTTAGCGATCAGATATTGTTTGCATAATTTTTAAGTCAACAGATGAGGCTTTCAGATTTGAAAGTGAAAGTGCATGTACTCCGTATATCTGAGTGAAACACACAAAAGTTTTGTTTGCGAATTAAGGGTGTTCACATGTATACGTAAACGAAAAAAATTATGAACGGTATTTTTCGATCGAAGTCATCCTGTGAGCTCTAACCTTACAGGCTTTGCTTACATCTGAAATTTAAGATCATGCAGTAACTTTGCTGAGTCATAATGTTGCAGTTTGACTGATGTTTATTTTTCTTCTCTTCTAGAAATCTCGTCATGGCATTTCGCTTCCCCTTGCGGTCGATAGCACGAGTCGTTCCAAGAAGGTTTTTTGCCCCTTCTGCTTCAATCAATCGGCCTTCTTTTGCAACGCTCGCCGAGGTAACTTAATCAAATACGTAAGATGTATGCAGGCTTCATGTCGCACCCTGGGAAACAGTGTTTGTATTTGGACGATTTATGCCAAGTAAACAGTGTCGTATTATTTCACTTCCCGTTTGGGGACAGACTTGACAAGTTTTCGAAGTATTCGGTTAAAAAAGGAAACTGCAACGTTGACCTAATCGGGTTTTTGAACAAAGTTTTGGCTGCATCGTTAACGCAACGCAGTGTTTATTGTTAAAATCCTGCAACTTATTTTGTTTTTGGGATCAAGACCCTCGCCGACCTCCTCTGAAGAAGATCTTGGCGAGTAACCAATTCTTTAGCAATGACGTCAAATGACTTTTGATTACCTCGACCACAAAAGAAAAAAATCATGAATTTTAAACTTATCTGCCATTCAATGGATTTAACCAACAGATTGTTTACATCATACATGCGCTGAACAGTGTCTGTCGGAATTTGAAAGTGTTTCAACATTTTTTTTGTCTAATTTTTCTCTCCAGCAATTGAATGTTCAATTGAGCAGAGGAGGAAAGTTAATATGCTCATTCACAATATATACCACATGGCGTGAACTGTGATACATAAAATAGTCATTGGAAATTTTTTTTCATGGCTGATTGGAGAACACTACTTCTGTGTGGTAAAGGTCATCTGGAGGTTTTGGAAAAAGTCACGAATAACAAACCATTGTGGAAATGCAAGTAAACAGCATAGCCAAATTATACAAATGAATACACGAACAGATGAAAACACAATTTAGTCCCTTAATGCTTTTATTATAGCGATTTCATATCTGATTGGCTTTCTCCTTTTGGTAGTAATTTTCAGGAATTTTAAAAATATTCCTGAAATATCAGGATAAAATTTATATCACAGTTGCCTGACTCAGACAGTAACTTTTTCTTATTGTTCTGTAGCATAAAAACATTTTATTATAAACATTCATTGTATGTTTTATCCCCTGCCCTCACAGAATTAATACTTAATGTAGCAGTTGTTGTCCTGAAATTCCCTCGTCCATATCTAGCTTTCCCTGCATTTGGGCTAGAAATTGTATATTGTCCCTGATTTAAACCTTCAGTGCAGGCTTCATTATCATTATCAGACCAGGATATTGTGTGACCTATTCAAGGCTCAAAATAATTTTCTGGCTGGAACCAGTCAAGTTGTCTTCTTAAACCTTTTTTTCCCAGACGCAACTGCTTTTAGGGGCAAACAAATAATTCTGCATTACATCATATTAATAAACCTGCTCCCTTTTCTTATAAAACAAGACTAGTATATTTACCACACTTTGTTTTGTAGATGTAGTCTTGAACTTGAAAACAGATACAGCTATATTTAAAACCTGAACTTAGCTGTGAATAAAATTCTTCTTTCCATGTAAGATTGAACAAATGAACAGAATGTCGATCAGGCTGTCCAAGGAGTTTAGTGGGCAGAACTAATATTTGACCCAACTTTGTCTGTTGACCGGCATTATTCTGTTATTCAATTAGTCAGTGTTTTCTGTGAAATGTGACCCACAGTCAATCATGTCCAAGCTTATCTCTGTAGACTGGATTACCTCTATTCCCTCTTAAATCCCTCCTGTAATCAGTCAACCTAGTGCAGGCTTCATTATCTACATTAGACTAGGATGTTATATTAATTATACTAGCAAATGTTTTAATAAGTAATGTTTCATGTGAAATTTTCCAACAGTTGATCAGTATAGCCCATCTTAATTCTCTTCGCTGTAGAATTTTGAACTGATTCCCACCCACTTTTTAACATAGATGCACACAGTAAAAATCAAATCTGTTTTCCTGCATGTGATGAAAAATTTTACGATGAAAAATTTTTCCAACTTTAAATGGAGAAACCTAATACATGGTTAAGTGGTATTATTATTATTATTATTATTATTATTATTATTATATAAAAGATATAAAAACATTCTTGCACATGATAGGTTATCACCAGTCTAACTTGAACACTACAAGGACAATGTATGTATCATGCTTGTAATTGGACAGTTAAATTGGACAGTGCATATGTTGTGCTTGTATAGTTGGACAGGTGTCACTGGTCTGTGTTGTTGTGCATTTCACTGACGTGTCTGTTAGTGTTTTTTTTTACAAAAACATATAACAGTTGAACTTCAATTATCCAGATGTTTTGATTATCTGGACTCACTTCTCTGATCCTATATAGTTGAATATAATCACATTCAAGATTTGTAACAATTTTTCTCCATCAAACAAAGCAGATGCACTGAGGCATTGTTGACACCATTCCATCAATGCAGCTTCAAAGAATGATAGAATTAGCTATTTGCATATGCTCTGGTCCTATATAGTTAGATGTAATGACATTTGAGATCCGTAACAATTTTTCCCCATCAAACAAAGCAGATGCACTTCAACTTCAACTTTATTGTAATCAGACATGACATGACACTTAACATAATGACGCACTACCCACAAATAGCAGAGCTAGTCTCGGTGGGCAGTGTGTGGACGCTAAAACATCTTAAATAAATTTCAGCTCAACAAAAGATTCAATAAATATACATTCAAGAAACAGAAATTAAATATTAAATCAGTAAAGCAGAAGTGACAGTATGAGATAAAAATACAGAAACAGAAACACATGGCACTGACACAATATTGATGCCATTCAGTTGATGCAGCTTCAAAGAGTGATAAAATTAGAAATAGGTATAAATTATGCTGTAGCAGATTGAAACAAACCAATTTCAGTCAGCACTTCAGGTCATGCACAATGATGTAAAACGTTTTTGGAAATACTTTTGCAAATTTTGGCAATAATTATACGCAAGGATTTGAGAAAGTTCTTCATACTGTGATTGACAAATTAAACTCCTGCTTTGGGATCATCCAAGTTTGTTTATCACTCATACAGGATTGCAGACTAAATCGGACTCCACAAAACCATACTGCATATTGTAATTATTAGTATTTTTATAATTGTTTTTGTGTCAATGGTTATAATGCCTAACACTGAAGTTTCTTATTTGGGTGATTTGTATTTGACAGCATAAAGTGGATGACAGTCCTGAAGTGAAGTACAATCAGGTAATTAATAGAATTGAAAAATTCACATCCTCTCTGACATTTACACTTGTGTTTAAGCTTTTTGCCACCTTGTTTTCTTCATGGAAGCAATAAGTGTATAGTTTTCAGTTATGGCTTAACACAGACATTTATTCGTTGTTGATTTTAGGAAAATGGTTTTATCAAAGATTTTTAACTGAAATCTAATAAAGAACAATCTCAATGAAAACCTTCTTGGATTTTTGATAGCATGACTTAATTTGACCCTGTTCTAGAGACTTTGAGGGATTGAACATAATAATTTTTTTTTTTTGTCAAATGCATGAAGGCAAAGCAACTCCACAAGTAGGCTTCCATTAAAACCTATGTGCAAATCATGTATGTACATATATGTATGTATTGCTTGTATTTGTCACATATAGACAGGCTCAGTTCAGGTCAAAGCTCATTTTAATGGGGGCCTATAATAAAGAATGACAAGGCCAGACTACACCTCCAGGAGCTACATTCCCTACTCTTTATATGTGGGTTCTTAAATACCCCTTGCTAACTAGAACAGTTTACTCTAAGCAAAAAAAGTGACTGAATCTGTTTGGTTTAAAAAGTTATGCCCATGTTCTTCAGGTTTTCATCAACAATAGGTTTGTGGACTCTGTCAGTGGCAAAACTTTCCCCACAATCAACCCTGCAACAGGGGAAGTAATATGTGAAGTGGCTGAGGGTGACAAGGTAAAGCCTAGACGCATTACATGCTGTGATGAAAATGGCTTTGGAGACATCCTATTTTATTGTAGTCATACATGCATCATTTTGTAATGCTTGGTTTGCAGTGCATGATTCTTAGTTATATCTTAGTTAGGCTCAGACTATTCCTCCCCCCCCCCCCACGTCTTAAGGTCCCCTAGCCTAATTCTGCTGACCACAAATTTTATGCTATTTATTCGTATATTTTATGCTATTTAATCGTATATTAATACTTAGTTATTTATTATTTTATTTAAATTATCTTGTTGTGTCCTTACTTAGTGGTTTTATTACTGCTATTTTATAATTGACACATGAATAAAGTTCATCATCATGCTGGTTTAGTTGAAAAATGGCTGTAAATACTGATGCTGATCAGTGCTACAATAATTGCAATACAACACAAAATGGATAAATACTAAAAAATTGTAATCAGTAAGAATTTTGATTTAGTAAAAACAGATTGAAATTATTTACTATTTATTAATATGGGACCAAACAAAATTTGATATCAATGACTGTGGATATGTGAAAATCATAAATGTGAACCATGGTTTTAAGAAATTAATGTGGAAGTGATCTTCGCAGTAATGAACACAACTTTAAAACAGTTATAGTGAAAATTTGATATATTTGATAGCTTACAGTACAGACCATTGCATGTGAAGTATGCAGGAGAGCTATAAATCAATTTGTGTTTTAGGCAGATGTCGATATTGCTGTTAAAGCAGCTAAGGAGGCCTTTAAGCTGGGCAGCCCTTGGAGAACAATGGATGCATCAGAACGTGGAAAGCTTTTGAACAGACTGGCTGACTTGCTTGAACGAGATCAAGCTTATCTTGCAGTAAGTACGAAGTAAACCTCTCATTGGAGTGAAAGTTTGATTATCAGGCATCATAGTCCTAAAATTTAGAGATAGAATGTAAAGAACATTTCCCCTCTTTCAATAACTAAGGTCAATCAAAGTTGATATATATGCCTGCCATGAAAAACAATTTGCAATAAAATTGAAACAAATTACTTAAAAGAGTAAACTTAAGGTAATAAATGACTTATACATTTTTATCTAACGACTACAGGACTGTTGTCGGTGGCAGTGACTGACGTTTCGACAACCT